TTCCATTGGCTTGCACGGCTGACATACATAAAGTTTTTGTCGCCAAGTATGCGTCCTAAAAATGCCAAAGTCAATTCGTTCGTAGGCTTGAGAACAACAGCTGTTTCTGTTCGGATCTTCCCTGTGCAGATGAGGCACACAACACCCACCTTTCCAAACACCCACACATTATGTGTTTTATACGGTGGCATGTCCCAACGTGCTTCTTGGGTGCCTTCCTTTGTTGGACACTTCAATGGCTCAATATTTGGGTGATCGGGATCATCAAAATACCATGGGTGGTCCTCGTTTGTTCCGAAGTTCGCCGGCTCATTCATGTCAATCCAGATGCCATCATATGCTATCTTAAAAATCGTAGGTATGTTCTTTATGTTAAAAAAAATATCGACAGGAATTTTATAAGCATATGCTAATGCAAGCATGGACCCTCTTTTCTTATACATATAGGTAATTGTAGAAGTATTTGTCCTCGATACAGTCGACATTTTGCGGAAGCCTCCTTCAAATCAAAACGACTCTGCAGTGGAAGAAAATGTAAACACTGGTTCCTATATGCGTGTATAAGATTGTTTGGACAGCAACCAATAATCCTTCTCTATTCTTTGCTATATTTTTCACCCTTTCTAGTACGTCATTGGTGGGAAACTCTACATGTGATCTGCACAAAATGCTGGATTCATGTCCAACTGATCTATGACCGTACGACTTTGTCTATTACTATGACGCTGAGCTACCGTTCCTGTCAACTCGTCTACACTTCATCAAAGCCTGATCCTCACAGCTCTCCTGTCAACCAGTACAGCAATTGACCGCTGTCTGCATCTATGACCATTTCTTTTTCCATGTTACTAACCATAGTGATTTTACTAATGATCAAGCCAGTACGTTTTACCCTACAATAAAACTCTACTTTCTTCTCAATGTCTTCCCAGAACCTAGTACCCTACGTAGGCCTCGGCGCAGCTGGAACCGCGTCAAGCTGGGTATGCTCTTGAGCAGAAAAGCAAGAGGATATTTTTGCGGGGTAGCATGTTGGTGTTTATTAGCATGCCAGCATGTTGCTGTTTATTAGCATGCCAGCATGTTGCTATTTATTAGCATCCACCGCTTGTCACCGGTATGCCGCCAGCATGCTGGTGACTGAGGATCGTATTTGTTTTCCAATGCATAGTCGCATTGGAGAAAACAATAACGAAGCGGAACTCCCCAAGGATTGGTTTTTATTTTTCTTTTGGTGCACCTCTTGTGTGTATACCTTAAGATGATGTAAAAAAAAACTGTCAGCAAAACTTCCCAGCCTCCATAACCGTGGCTCACACAACAGTAATTTTTACTAAGTAAAAGAATACAGAGAAACCTTAGGTTGTGAGAAGATTAGTGATCTCAACTATCTGATTTTATCGTGAACGTCTTTTTGCACATATTACTTACCTTCTGTCTGAATCTGATCAATTCGTCAATCCACCACTTTTCTGTATTGCCGCTCGGATCAAGAAAATCGGGGAAAGCCGTATGGTTATCTGGCCACACTACACCCAACATAATTTTCGTACCTTCCACCAAAGGATACAAACTCTTAAAATAATATTTAACTCAATAACAACCCTTCCAAAGCCATCCTACATTAACAGATTCCATAACTTGATCGGGGCGTTCCCATTCTACGAAACGTGCCCTCTGAAAAGTTCCGTTTAGATAGGTTTGAGAGGAGGTGCAGGGGAAGGAACTCACCGCTGTCATTGCTCTTGCGAAAGGTTCGTAATTAGCCTGCACTGCTGGATCAAACATCAAAACCAGTCGCATTCCACGCTCATGCAATTGGTCAGCGTAAGCAGGAAACTCTTGCCAATCACCCTAGAAATAGATAAGATTCAAAACACATCTTCAGTTGCGGTATCGAACCTTCCCAATCGTAAAGTCTTTGTATCGGTCCATGTAATCAATGTCTCCGACAACTGTGTCAAAAGGTACTCCGGCTTCAGTGTTCCTTTTGACCACTTCCTTCAGTTCAGCAAAATTTTCGTAACCCCATCGAGAGATCTGCCAAGCAACGTGTAGCCGTCTGTTGAAGATGAAAAAAAGTGCGACGCTTACCTGGAAGCCAAAGCTCCAATAAGCTGGTAGGGTTGGTTTACCTATCAAAGCTAGGTATTGCTGCGTTACTTCCTCTGGGGTTGGACCTGGGAAGAAGTATATGTCTAAATTACCGCCGATCGTGCGGTAAATAAGTGTAGGCCCAGGGGCTGTGATGATTTCCTAGAAATCTGCTGAATTTATTTGTACATAGAAGGCAACATACTTGTCACGGATTTGTAGCAAACTTTTTGAAAATATTTGCATAAACAGAATATTGTCATTTCTAATAATATCGTTCTTCAAGTGAACGAAGAAGATATACCTGCGCATTGCTGTTGAGTATAAAAATGCCATGTGCTTTTCCATCTTTCTCCAACATCATGTAGAATGGATGTACGCCTATTATGTATTTCCAATTAATCATGGTAAACAGATGGTTTTCGAACAGACCGTAAAGGTTTTTCGTGGTAAATTCTTCCGAATAGGGCCACTCATCTCTTGCAAACATCGCCCAAGTTGTGTAACGATCAAATCTATGCTGAAATAATTTTTT